AAAGCATGCAAACTTGCACTAAAAAATCTGCGAAACAACGAGGTGAAAGGTGAACCGCGTTATTAGTGAGGGACCACTGTAATTTTGAAGGTAAGTCACAACATACCCTTCGTAAATACTAATGTATAGAAACCCTTACCAGCAATCATTCATTTTTTGTGTGGCTTTTTTCACGGTTTGTTAACATGCTGTGTAGGTGTGTACTTGACTAGCTGATATCGATATAACGGGGAAACATCTGGTTTGACTATTGTTCACCTGTAGTTTGAATGCTGAACATTTGCCTGTTTAAATCATGAGACCAGTCACTATACAGAGATGTGCTTCTGAATGTGGACGATGTGTCTTCTGCATGCAGTGATGCAGTTCTGCTTGTGTTGAGTGATGTAAACAAGTGATCGATCTAAACTCTTTAAACGTCAAAATTGATCATTAGATTTTTTGTGACACAACAGTGGTGAGTGTTCCCACCTTCTGCTCTTTGTAACTTAACGCGATCTTTCCGTTTTCGAGTTTTGGATATGATTTTGGAGTACATCTTCGCAGTAGCAATTGACCGCAAAGTAAAGCTACCGGAAATGTACAACCCCACATCCGGTCTCAAACCAGGAAGTTAGCATTTTCTCGTGCACAGGGTCAATACACCGCTGCTTTTTCAAATGTATATTGAATTATTTTATTCTGCTGTTAGACCTGGAATCAAAAATGGAGACTACAACGTCAGCGTCTTCTGCCCAACAAAGAGTAAGTGCAATATTATGGGTTGTTATTTCAACTTCTTAAAGATCTAAGTGTGTTTAAATTTTAAAAAAAAATCTATAATAAAGTGACACTACAGCTTTGTTAATTCAAAAACAGTGAATATTACTTTTACCAAAAAGAAATGTAAAAAAAAATCAGCAACTCATTTTATACAAAATTGTTTATTAATTTCACAATCAACAGAAACTATGATCTTCATCATTGGGGACAGCTACATCCGCCGAGGGGAAGCACGAGCGAGGGAGACCATCGGGACCAACCTAGGTCTGGATGCGCAGGTTCAGTTGTTTGGCAGGGGTGGGATGGTTTGGCAAAACCTGATCCCTTTTCTCTTCCAATGCCTTCGAGGAAGAGTGATACCTGATGTCCTGTTGATCCACTGTGGTGGAAATGACCTTGGCAATGTCAAAAGCGTCAGGCTTGTGGCAGCAATCAAGCAGGACTTGCGTGATCTCCACCAGCAGTTCCCGCAGATGAAAATCATTTTCTCTGCCATCACCCAGCGATGCCAGTGGAGGCGTGTTAATCCAAAGAAGGTGGACAAGGCTCGACGCTTTGTAAACAGTGTGATGACTACTTTATTCTGTCGGTTTGTGGTTGTATTGTACATCATCCACAGATAAAGCATAGAAATCCTAACCAGTTTTTGCATGATGGAGTTCATTTCACCCCTTTGGGAAATGATGTATTTTTAAATAATATTGCCTTGTGTCTGAAAGACCAAATCCAGTAGGGTGATGCTGGCTTTGGACTTTCCACTAACATTTTGGCAGCAAAATCTGAATCAGGAATTTTATTCTTTATACTGTTTTTTTTTCTGCTTTAAACTCATTTGATAATTTTTCTTTAAATGCCAGAGGAGCCATCACACTTTTCAATGATTTCACAATTATTCCCCCTGTTCTTTCTTTTGCTGTCATTCTCTTCTAAATTTGTTACTGCTGAATGTTCTTGTAATAAATATTTTTTAAATATTTATCTCTGACATGCGTGATTTCGATTTAATATTGCATTTTACATTCAGCAAATTTTCAGACTGCTTAGAAACACCATTGCTTTTCATGACACTGTTTTATTGAATCCTGTTAAAGACAACATGCAAGAAAATTCCATCTAAACCTTTCATAAAATAAAAGAACCTGCAGTCTACGATTAACAACTTTAGAACTTAAATACATAGCACTTATGCTAGGACAGTGAAATAACAGTAAAAGCTGCATGTAAGTTCTATCACTAGCAGGATAACAATTTTAAGAGAAGCCAATTATATGTATATTAAGACAGTGACTGTTGTCCTCAACATATTACTGTTCCATTAGGTTGCATGTTTCTCTTAAGAAACATAATGTGGTGTATTACCCTTTGTATTTTTCAAATTCATTGTTATTCTATTAATTACTAAAGAAAGACTTATATTGTTAGTTTGGGGTGGCTGTAGTTTAGGAAGTACAGCTGGTCATCTTCTGATTGGAAGGTTGGTGGTTTGATCCTGGCTCCCCCCAGTCTGCATGACAAATATAATAAAAAAAAATGTTTTAAAAGTCAGTATTTCAAATAGATGGCATGTCCATCATCATTAACTGCCACTGAGGTCTCAATCTGAAGACGGCTCCTAAAGAAAATGAAAAAAAAAAAAAAAAAACACAGACAGAGGAGAGAATAATTAAATTGTATGTATGACGTTTAGCATATTTTGTTATACAATTCTACTAAGCTGATATTTGGCAAGGATTAATTAGTGTGTCTGTGAAGTTTCTCAGTCCACCAGGTCATTGTAGTCTAAGGAACTTGGAAAGAAAAGCATCTGGACTTCTTTAAGTGTCTTGAAGATGTTTCACATCTCGTCCCAGAAGCATCTCATCTGCATGTCCACTGAACCTAGAACAGAGGCAGACAGACAAGCGCAAAAACTTGGATGAAGGAAATGTGAGAAGGACCACTCCCTGACTACTTCTTTAGATTACATTATCCACAGTATTTAAACATGAATACATTTAATCTCAGTAGTAAAAAGTAGCATTTTGCTTTCTTTTCAACATATGACAACAGAATGACAGCCCATCTTAGTTGAAAGCCCACTCACCACAACAAGGTGCGGGCCATGAGTGGGAACACGGGACAAGACATACTTGGCAAACAAGACAAACTAAGACAGGACAAGGTACAGATATACATATACTTCATACACATCAGCAATACAATAAAAAAATTTAAACAACAATTTATTAACAATATCATTATATGTTAACTTTTTGAATTTTAAATACTGAATGCAAAATCATTAGAGCAAAACGTACTCTCAGTTTTAATTCCGACAAGGAAATAAACAATAACACTTCTAAGAAACTATGTGAAATCTCAAATTGAAAAAGCAGTGGTGTTATTTATAGAAAAGTGCAATAAAACTATCCTGTTGTGGGGCGTAATCCGTGCCGTGGCTGTGGGGGAGGCTGGCGCACCTGAGGTCAATCAGTGCATCACTCCTCCACTCCATATAAATGAACTAGGGCGTGTTGTGTGTTTGTTGTTGGTGGTGGTATGTGTTTGGCTGGAAAGCTGTGCTGTGAGTGTGTGTACAGCAAATGCGAATAAAAGGGATATGCCACTGAATGGTGAGTCGTGGTCATGTTGTGCCTCCAACCTGTCACAAATTCACATCAGCAATTACAAAAGTAGCAAACAGTGGCAAGAGAAATTTTTTCTCTTTCTTCTGTTGATGCTTCAGTCCTGTTTATGCGGACTGTAAACCATGGGCAGCAGCAACAGAACATAATGGAGACCAGTGGAGTCCATGTTTCTTCTGCTGATGATTCAGGACTGTAAACCATGGGCAGCAGAGGAATAACTGGCAGTAACTGATTATGACAGCTAGGACTGAACAACTAGTGATTTATTGTAATTTAAATCAAAATTTGTTATATTCTTTGACCATATGTTTAGTTAGTAAGTATATATTATATGTATTTCAATTCTAATCTAAAATACAATATATGTTCGAACAATCTGAAATAATGTCAATAAATCATTCAGCCCTAAAAGGCATCAGGTATCGCACATTACTCTCCATAAAAATGGATCAGTTTGGTCATCTGTCTGCGAACCAATTTGCCCGTTTTTGCTATTTAATTTTTTCTTCTTGCTAAGTGACTCAATCTGACTTTGCAGTACCATGTGGAGGCCATTTTCACAAGTACATGAATGTGGTTTACTTCAACACATGTGTCAAGCATATGGCTTTCAAGATGAGGGAAAAGGTTTTTTTCACCACATTCTTCCAGAACCTGGGTGACAATGGTTGCTGTGACTCCACGTCCACTGGGTAGCTGACCTCCATTGGTTTTGATTTTCCTCTGAATGCATTTTTCTGTTGTGATACACACAGTAACCATGTCTGGTGAAGGTTTTTGGAGACCACCTCTGTCTTTCTGCTTAATAAAAGTATGCACAGCACCTTCAGTTGTCAAGGCCTGTGAACAAGGCAAGCAGGTGATTTTCTCTTTGATCTTCTTTACTACAAAACCTGCAATGTAGCTGATCACCGCCTCCTTGTATTCAGACAGGTTGCATACATCTGGGAGGTCAGGAATCGAGTGATCATCAGGGTCATTTACTTGCACAAGGTGCACTTCCATTCTGCGAGCAACATTTACAGCTGCAGATGTTGAATCAAGAATGTATGTGTTGTCTCGAAGTAAACAATTGCCTGTACCCGTTTTAACTTGGTGTCTAACAAGTAAACGTTTGTAGGCTCCCCTGAACTGTCTGGCATTAGGATTGTCATTGTGCCCACCTCTTGCTCTTATGGTAGAGAAGAAGAGCTTTAAGTGGTCCTGACTAGGGGTGGGTTTATATAACAAATTTAAACTTTTTAAAATTATTCAAAATGCAAAACGCTTAACCGTGTCTCTAATAAAACCGCTGTAACGTCAGAGGTAATGTTCATATGTTGATTAATGGTTTTCTTTCGTTTTTGATGTACTGCAGAATATTTTATAAAATTCCAGGCCAGGAAAATCACCTTCATGTTTTTCTGTGTTTTATCTTCAGCTACTTTGACACAAAGGCATCTGCTGTGACGCTTACACCTGTGATAAAGTCTTGCGTGTGTCAGCTTCCTTTTTATTGATACAAAAATATGTAAATGTACTGATCTGAATTATAATATTTCTGACCCCAAATTTCCCAGATTTAAATCGAATTAAATCGAATTAAATCGAATCGTGGATCGAATCGATTCGGGACCTTGTGAATCGGAATTGAATCGATTCTACAAAATCAGTGATGATACCCAGCCCTAGTCCTGACTCAGTTTGTAGGTCAGAAGATACCTGCATGGGGCATCGTCTTCTCAACAAGTTCATTATAAATGTTAAGTGCACTTATGCCATTAGCAATGAAGCCATATATGGCAGTCTTCTTTTTTGTGGTGTGAAGTGGCACCATCTTGTCATACTGCTGGACCTTCAACCCACGAAGCAAGGTTTCTGCATCCTTCAAGATTGTCTCAGCCCTGTGTTTAGTTGATGGCTTAATTGGAGCTTTGTAACCTTTTCCAAGATGATTACGGCTGTTGAGCACATCAAAGGCTGCATCTACAGTGCGCACAAACTCCACAGTTGCAGAACAACCTTTAAACTCCTCCAATTTCAAGCCTTGTTCACAGAACTCCATTGCATCCGCTACACTTCTGCTGAAGAGCTGTGGTGGACTTTCATTTTTTGTTTTCTCCACTGTAAATGAGCCATTTTTAGCCTGTTACCTAGTCGTAGACCCTCTTCATCTTGGAGTTTATTAAGGGCTTCAAAGTACTTCCACTTAATCTTCCTCCCATCTTCTGTCTCAAATTCCATTGAAGATGCAAAGGCATTACGAAGAAGCTTTAGCATATGGCATGCATCCAGGATCACATGCACTTTTTGTGTGGGATTCTCTGGATGAAAGAAGTAGGGCTTGTTGTCGATATTTACCTCTGCGCCAAGTTCCCTTATCATGGCAAAGTTATTCGTAGGGGCATCACACGTAAGGGAGACAACTTTAACACCAACTTCATGAAGCTTTCCCGAATGACATTGGCTCTTCTCTGATCCATCCATACCATCGATGAGGAAGTTGACAGCCACAACCATGAGGACAAAGGCCTGGGTGGCAAGTGTGTTGTCAATTTCACCAGTGCCTATATCTACATAGCCATGGAACCGGTCACCTGCAAACTCAGTCATTTTGTGGATGTACATTTCATCCATCATTAGTGCACACACTGTCTCCTTTCCCTGTTCTCTGTTTGCCTCCACGTGACTTGTTAGTGCTCTGAAAGATGCTACGGTAAATCCAGGATCAGCTGAGACACCACTGTACCAAGTGCGAATGGTGTGACTGTGTGGCAACGCTTTATTAAAATTCTCACGCACATACTCATGTGCTTTTGGGGAGTAAAAATGAAGTGTGGTGACAAACTGTTTCAATTCCTCAGAATATTTAGCTGACTTTTTCCCATCAAGGATTTTACGCAAGATGTGTTTTGGAACTTCATTGATTGACTCAAGCAAAGATGCACACTGATTTGAGATCAAGAGCTTGTTCTTGAATACTTTGGTGACATCCTTTAAGGTACAAACTTTTGTCTTTAAACGCCTAGACTTTTGGCATTGCAATCTCAGCTTTTTCCTGTATTTTGTTAGCATCTCTTCTGAAGCTGGATTTTTACGCTTTAACGACTTTGGAGACTCAAGGTTGTAGCAGTGATCCTCTTGAATACAGCCTGGTTCTGCTAATGTGGTTGGTAATAACGCGTAACTATGGTCTCCTGGTGTCATGTTGTGGTCGAATTTTGTATGTGTTTGACCAACATTACTGTTCCCTGACACATCGCTTGATAAACCTTGAGAGCCACTTACCTCTGTGCCAGTACCTATCAAAATGTTACGTCTTGCTCTTCTCCCAGTTGACCTCACCTGAATACATGGAAAAGGAAAACTGAAAATAGTTGGAACTGCTGTGCTGCTGAGGCAACAGATTCCCTAAAGCAGCACAAAAAAAAAGAATGAGAAACTTTATATTTAATGTTTTTTTCTTATAATATTACATAGGAATAGTTATAGATTTTATTACCCTTTGAGTCTGTGATGATGTCATTTTCTTCAAAATGAGCACCGCAAAGATGAGATGATGGCCCAGGTGTCCAGTCCTTCCTTCTCATGTTAGCCAGCCACTGGTTCAGTCTTGCTGCATCACCTGAAGGAAAACTGACCACCCCCACCACCAAAAAAAGACATGCACCTAAGATGACTGTTTAGCAGACTGAATCCAGGTGCAGCTGTGTCAGGTTAATCTGATTGGATGGTCATAATGACAGCGTAGCAAAATCAGACTAAAAAGCCTCTGTGAACTACAGTAAATACTGTCGTGGCAAGGCCGACCAAATCATATCAAACTACTGGTAGAATAGCTATAGAACAGTTTAATGTTAGTGACATCATATTAATTACCACTTTAACTCACATGCTCTTTTTTTCTCAAAAACGTAGCGATGCAGCAGACTTTGTTTTTAGTTATGCAAACAAACGAGCCCAAATAGTAATTTTTAAAGACGAATTATTCACCACGCTTATTTCACTTTTGTTGGCAGTGTCTCCTGAAACGAAGTCTATCCATGTATTCACAATCACCAGTTAATCTGAGACACTGGTTCGCACAGCCAATTAACAACAGAGAGAACAGGCCTGCAGCCCCAGGTAGTAGCCAGTGGTGTCGTAACAACCGCTAACTCCCACTGTACATTAATAAAATAATAATTCTAACCTTAGAGTGAACGAGACATCAATTCACTGATCCACACCACCAGGATATACAGCAATGACATCGGAATGTCGTTCGGACTGGAGAAGTGTAGTCGAATGGTAACAAAGAGAGGGAAGGTAGTCAGAACTGAGGGGATCAAACTACCAGAAGGCAACATTGCAGACATAGAGGACAGTTACAAGTACCTGGGGATCCCGCAGGCAAATGGGAACCATGAAGAGGCCGCTAGAAAAGCTGCAACCACCAAGTACCTGCAGAGGATCAGGTAAGTCCTGAGGAGTCAGCTGAACGGTAAGAACAAGATCCGGGCCATCAACACGTACGCCCTGCCCGTGATCCGGTACCCTGCTGGGGTAATAGGCTGGCCAAAGGAGGAGATAGAAGCCACTGACATAAAGACAAGAAAGCTCCTGACCATGCATGGAGGGTTTCACCCCAAGTCCAGCACCCTGAGGCTGTACGCTAAGCGGAAGGAAGGGGCCGGGGACTGGTGAGTGTCAGCACCACAGTCCAGGATGAGACAAGGAACATCCAAGAATACATCACGAAGATGGCCCCAACTGACAGCGTGCTCAGTGAATACCTCAGGCAGCAGAAACCCAAGAAAGAGGAGGAAGGCGAGGAACCATCATGGAAGGACAGGCCCCTGCACGGTATGTACCACCGGCAGATAGAGGAGGTGGCTGATACCCAGAAATCCTACCAGTGGCTGGACAAAGCTGGACTGAAAGACAGCACAGAGGCACTAATCATGGCAGCACAAGAACAAGCTCTGAGTACAAGATCCATAGAGGCTGGGGTCTATCACACCAGGCAAGACCCCAGGTGCAGGCTGTGTAAAGATGCCCCAGAGACAATCCAGCACATAACAGCAGGGTGCAAGATGCTAGCAGGCAAGGCATACATGGAACGCCATAACCAAGTGGCCGGCATAGTGTACAGGAACATCTGTGCCGAGTATAACCTGGAAGTCCCGAGGTCAAAATGGGAGATGCCCCCAAGGGTGGTGGAGAATGACCGAGCTAAGATCCTGTGGGACTTCCAGATACAGACGGACAAAATGGTGGTGGCTAACCAACCGGACATAGTGGTGGTAGACAAACAGAAGAAGACGGCCGATAGTGATCGATGTAGCGGTTCCGAATGACAGCAAATCAGGAAGAAGGAACACGAGAAGCTGGAGAAATACCAAGGGCTCAGAGAAGAGCTCGAGAGGATGTGGAGGGTGAAGGTAACGGTGGTCCCCGTGGTAATCGGAGCACTAGGTGCAGTGACTCCCAAGCTAGGCGAGTGGCTCCAGCAGATCTCGGGAACAACATCGGAGATTTCTGTCCAGAAGAGCGCAGTCCTAGGAACAGCTAAGATACTGCGCAGGACCCTCAAGCTCCCAGGCCTCTGGTAGAGGACCCGAGCTTGAAGGATTGACTGCCCACAGGGGCGAGTGTTTTTTGTTTTTTTTGTATTTTATGTATTTTTCATCTATTGTATTTACTAACATTTACCACACCATGACACATGTTTAAACAAGGAAAGTTCATTGATGAGAATTATTTATTAAACAAATAAACATAACAATTTTTTCACTCAAGCAACACAACGGTGGCCCAATATCAGACCGAATTGTGAACTCCGCTCTGTAGAGTGGGCAGTCATAATGAAGCAGTTCATTTTATTTTGTAGATTCAAGCTGCTCTTTATATTTTTGGCCACCAGATGTCACAGAGAAGACTCTTGCGTTGAAAAAAGGTTCATTACTCGAAGCTTTTCAACACAAGCTGCAGTTCTTCAGAAAGCTAGAAAAACTAGAAACAAACAAAATATAAACTAGAAACTAAGATGACAAACAAGGAACTGATGACTTGGCATAAATGAAAGAACACGGAACACACAAGATGGATGATGCAACAGCAAGAAGACAGAGGACTTAAATGTACAGAGGTTAGTGAAGGAATGGGAAACCGGAGGGAAACACAGCTGGAACTAATCAAACATAACACAACTGGGGGAAACCAAAACTGAACACACTAAAAACAGGACTAGGGACTATCAAAATAAAACAGGAAACCTGAGAAGCACACAAAGACGTGGACAGACTGAATACAGGGAACAGAGATATATCCGTTAGTTATTCCAATCACTCAGTCCAAACTTAGCAGCATGAGTTTCAAGTTTATTTTGCTTTTGCTGGTTCTAATGTAAGTATCCTGAAGTAGGTAGCACACCTAACTAAACACTCATACAAATGTTTTCACTTATTACTAAATCAACCAGCACATCCACAAGACTATTAGACCTCTCTATAGCTATGTCCCAATTCAGGGGCTGCGTCCTTCGGAAGACCCGGCCTTTGCGGTCTACGTGGGCCGGGTTCTCCGAAGACCGGGAAGGTCGGAAGTGCGAAGCTCTGAAATGGGACACTCTAGCTTTCAGATTTGTGTCACCACTGTCTTGTTGCTATCTTAAATATAACAGGACATTGGAGTAAATTCTCTACCATGTCACACTTCTGCTTAATCAGTTTTCTGTTTGACGTTTATTCAGCTGTGCGAAAACTATCATTTTAATCTCAGCCAAACCGATTTACTCAGGAACAAATAAAATACTGAAAAAAGCCAAACAATAACATTTTTAAGTTATCTAAGTGACTTATATATCATGTTTAACCTCAGAGCAAAAGACCGTGTGGGGTCTGAAAACGATGTGCCTGGAGTCCGGTGTTGTCGCCGGCTCTAGTGAGCCTTGACCACCCAGTCAGCTATTGAGCTGGTGAGTACCGGATATCTCAAAAAACCTCGGAGCACTTTTCCAGATAGAGTAATATTAAAACTAAGTAGCTGCTGCCATTGTCGGAAACTGGAATTGGCTGGGCCACGCTATAATTTCTGGGATAGGTTGGGCCACAAAGGATACACCCGACCCATCCCAGAAATCGGGGGAAAAGGAGGACACATTTGTCGGATGCATTTGGAGCAGCCTTCGTTGCCTTACTGTGATCCAATCAGCCTTTAAATACGGCCTCCGAAGGATGCAGCCCCTGAATTGGGACATAGCATATGTATATATGCTGTATAATCCTAACTTAATCTACTACATTTTAACATACTGCTGTTACCCCTATTCAACCAAGATACTGTAACTGTAGCGGTCATGTCATGAACACAAATGGGTTTTCACAATTATCAAGATAATCTGGTGTCTTACAGATGTGTCTGTCTAATGGATAGTGGGGAAGAAGTGAGTGAGGATGAAGAAGGTGAAGAAAAATAAACATTCCCCTGAGAGTGATGGGAAAGATGACAGGATTTCTCATATTGCAGCTATTTGCATTTTTTTGGCCTTTGTGCTTTTGAACTATTACAGTGTAGACGAGGAAAACATTCACTTCTTATAAAACACATCTCTGGTGATGTCTTGTTGCCCTGCTTCTTTTTTTTTTTTAATTATGCAATGCAGTAAACATATCTCAATGTAATTGTTAGAAACTAAGATTTCATTTTTTACTTTTTTTTTATTACAGGTGAATCATAACTTGTCAGCTCCACTCTTAAGTTTTTTATCCAGCTTTTTTACTTCACATTTGTAGCTTCGGCTTAAGAATTTCACTCCCAACCACTGAATAGACAAAGGTTGTGTCCACATGATGGCTGAGCCTTTGGTTTGGTTTCAATGCTCAAATTATTTTTCCACAACTGTAGGGTAATAAAAACTAAACAAAAACAACAAAAACAAAATAATGACTTAAACACAGCAAATACTAAAACAAAGATGAGGTTAAATGCTCATTGAGATGACACAGTATAGCTTGTAAGGCAACCACGCAGCATGTCAAAAATAGTGTTCTACCAATACAAGTGAATACATAAAACCACACTTTGGCCTACATGCAAGGCATGCAAAGCACAAAAAACCCACAGAAGCCGCTTTTTGTTGGGCTTAACTGGCTTCTTCAATTGGGAGTATGCATTTCTAACAATGCATACTAAAAATTCAATCACAATTAAAGCTGCAAGCAGCGTTGGGAGGGCCCTCGGAGCCCAGTGTGTCGAGCCATGCTGAACATCTATTTCCACTTGGTGGCAATGGAGAATGCCATCTGAGCAAATGTCACACAGATGCGCGTTGTGTGTTGAATGGCCAGTTAAGATTTCATCTAGATCAATGTTGATTATAATCTAGTGTGCATTTCCTCTTCCCACTACTCAGCGCTCTAACTATTGGCAGGTATGACTATACTATTGGCATATCAATCTGTTCGGGGCTCGGCTCTAATCGTGCCTGTGAAGTTTGGGAGAGATTGGATAAAGTGTCCTAGTGTTACAGCAGTTTTGTGCTAGTTGGCGAATGACTAAAACTCTACGTGTCGCTGTGACTATGCTGTTACACAAAACCCCAAAAGCTTTGCAATTTAACTACACCAAGGCCTTTAGTTTCCACTGACCGAAGATCATGTTGATCTGATTAAAACCTTAGGAGGACTTTGTTAAAGTACGAGGCCTGAAAAGGATGAAAAATGTCCCTAAAATTACATATTAAATTCAAAGTGGCCAACTTCCTGGGTTTAGCATATGGCTCTATCAGACTTTTTGCACATCTTAATATCTTACATCAGGCTGCCAAATTTCAGACTCATAGATTAAACATAGTGCAGGGGCTGCTCTTTTGAAATTTTTAGGAGGTACTGTGGATCATTCCGTCCACGCTACTGAGCCATTTTGCCCTGTCCATGTCTGAAACCATTAAAATGAGTAATTTTTCTCCAGACCTGATGCGTGTGCAAAATTTCATGAGTTTTTGAGCATGTCTAAGCCTAAACATTTCAGTTCAAAGGCACACAAGATCGACAACAGAAACAAATTAAAACAGAAAACAGCAAAGCAGCAGCGCCTTGCATCATTCTCTATGGGAATGTCCTGCAGTGTTCTTATTCTGGGACAAGGTAATAAAGATGCTGTTGACCCACTACTACATCTTATACTTGACGACTCCAGGTTTTCAATGACAACAAAAGTGAGCAAAATATGGTTGGCAGGCATAACTGCGGCAAAAAAACTAGTGGTTCAGAGGTGGCTCCCACCACATGAACTCTTGGTGAAACACTGGCTGAACACTTTGTTAGATATCCTGTACCTAGAACTATCCTCAGCTAGAGATAATTATGCAAACCCCTCAACAGTCCAAAACTGGGAACTGAATTAGACTAAAAGACTACTCAGAAGTGTGAGTTTATATGTGTATTTTCTTTCTTTTTGTTTTAAATTACTGATCTATTGTTCCTCTTTCCTTATCTGTTACACCAAACTGTGTTGTCATTGGTATGTTGTGGTCATGCTGTAAAGGTTATATGAGTTGGGGTAATGTTCCCGGGGAAACTCAGTATGATGTACACTCAACAAAAATATAAACGCAACACCTTTGTTACTGCTCCCATTCCCCATGGGATGGACGTAGAGACCTAAAATTCATTCCAGATACACAATATAACCATCCCTCCCAAACAGTGGTCACAAATCAGTCCAAATGTGTGGTAGTGGGCACATCTGCTATATTGAGATAATCCATCCCACCTCACAGGTGTGCCACATCAGGATGCTGATCTGACATCATGAGTAGTGCACAGGTGTACCTCAGACTGCCCACAACAAAAGGCCACCCTGGAATGTGCAGTTTTTTGCGCTATTGGGGGTCTGGGGACCCAGAACCGGTCAGTATCTGGTGTGACCACCATTTGCCTCATGCAGTGCAACACATCGTCGCATGGAGTCTATCAGATTGTCAATTGTGGCCTGTGGAATGTTGGTCCACTCCACTTCAATGGCTGTGCGAGGTTGTTGGATATTCGTGGGAACTGGTACACGCTGTCGTATACGCCGGTCAAGCACATCCCGAACATGCTCAATGGGTGACATGTCCGGTGAGTATGCTGGCCATGCAAGAACTGGGACATTCTCAGCTGCCATCTGCCCTGAACAATGTGAACCATGATTCATCCGTGAAGCGCACACCTCTCCAACGTGCCAGACGCCATCGAATGTGAGCATTTGCCCACACAAGTCTGTTACGGCGACGACTGGGTCAGCAGTTGAGCGTCCCTGAGACGGTTTCTGACAGTTTGTGCAGAAATTGTTTGGTTGTGCAAACCAATTGTTCCAGCAGCTGTCTGGGTGGCTGGTCTCAGACGATCTTGGAGGTGAACCTGCTGGATGTGGAGGTCCTGGGCTGGTGTGGTTACACGAGGTCTGCGGTTGTGAGGCCGGTTGGATGTGCTGCCATATTCTCTGAAACGCCTGTGGAGACGGCTTATGGTTGAGAAATGAACATTCAATGCACGGGCGACAGATCTGGTTGACATTCCTGCTGTCAGCATGCCAATTGCACGCTCCCTCATTGCTTGTGGCATCTGTGGCATTTTGCTGTGAGACAAAACTGCACATTCCAGGGTGGCCTTTTGTTGTGGGCAGTCTGAGGTACACCTGTGCACTACTCATGATGTCAGATCAGCATCCTGATGTGGCACACCTGTGAGGTGGGATGGATTATCTCAATATAGCAGATGTGCCCACTACCACACATTTGGACTGATTTGTGACCACTGTTTGGGAGGGATGGTTATATTGTGTATCTGGAATGAATTTTAGGTCTCTACGTCCATCCCATGGGGAATGGGAGCAGTAACAAAGGTGTTGCGTTTATATTTTTGTTGAGTGTATGTTTGTGATGTGCTGTATAAGATAGTTTTCCTTTGATCGAAAAACAGATAAAAACAGAGACATTGCATTACAATAAAAAGTGATCATAATCAGTCTTTTATGAGTGCAGACCTGGGTTGGCTGAAAAATAAAATATACTGCATCAAACTATCATGAGCTCTAGTGTCTTTTTTCACATTTTTGATATTTTTTCTGTTGAATGTTGGTGGAAGAGTTAGGAGCCTTACTCTGCCCCATTAATAAATACATTTTCACAGCACTATACAGTATTTAAAGGTTTAAGATTTAAATGTCTTAGTCAGAAATCTACACTATTCATTACTGTGTCTTTTCATATGGATATATACACAGCTCAAGAACAGGTCTAGTTTCAGTGGTAGCATAGCTGCATAAACCACATATTGAATGGGTGACTTCCTCTGAACTTCAAACTTTAGAATCAACTGAAACCAGTGAGATTCTCACACTTCACATGTCCTGTGCCACAGAGCTGAGCTCAGAAATAATCCACATCCTTTCATGCAATGGAGGAAATTTATGTCAATGAATGCTATGTCAAACCTGCCAACAAGCCATCTATAAAAAAAACCACAGGTAAGAAAGAAATTACAAATATTTAAAGTTTACATTGTTCAATCTGTTATTACTATTATCACCCCCCTTCACCACAACCACTTTTTCTTTTTTACTTTTCAGCTCCAAGAAGCTACAAGAGAAGCTTTTATTTAGTTGTTATTCTCTCGTTGGGGCTGCTGGCTGGACTTCTCACTCTTGCTTTCTACTGTGAGTTGTGTTGTGTTGCTTTGTTGTTGTTGTTTTCTTCTGTTATATATATAAGATGTTTCATTCCATAATGGCAAAATTCCAAATTATTTTTGATTAGCTCGATTATAAATCAGCAACAGTGTTCTTTTGGCTCTCAAAAACATCTTTACTTATTTATCTGTATTTCAGACAAAAACTCCTCACAATATTCAGCTGAATATCTCTCAATGAATAACAAACTTTCCTCAATAACCGAGGAGAGAGACCTTCTAAATGCAACTGTCTCTGTAGTGAGTAACCAACTTTCTTCTATGACTGAGGAGAGAGACCTGCTGAAGGCCAACCTCACTGAAATGACCAAAGAGCTGGAGAGACTGCAGAGTTTATTCAACCAGAGTGAGTCCTTGTCTGAGCTGTTGTGTGTCTTTGTAAAAGATTTTACACTGAAATTCAGTGATTCCGTTTTCCAGTGATAGATGGAAATATTTTCTCAATATATCTGAACTGACAGAAATTTAAGAAAACAAACTTTAATCTTCATGGATATGTTTCACATGAATCATTGTCATCATTGTTGCATCTTCTCTGCATTGCAGTGTCAGTGCCACAAGATGTTTTATATATAGATAGTATAAAATATAGATTTCAGTTAATTAACAGAGACCAAATAAAGAATTGCCGAATGTTCCATGTTGGTCTTTAATATTTCTTATTTGATGTTTCTTTCAGAGAAAACCTGTCCTACAGGATGGAGAAAGTTCAGTTGTAGCTGTTATCTCCTGTCTGAAAACTCTGGTTCCTGGCAATCAGCTAGAAAACACTGCACAGACCAAGGAGCAGATTTGGTGGTGATAGACAGCCCTGAAGAACAGGTACAAAGTTCATTGTTTTTTAATGAATGTTGACTTTCAAACCCCACGTTGTTATGAACATGACTTTCCCCAATTTGAATAAAAATGTTTCCATAAAAATTTCATCATTTGACTAGTTTAACAAGGAACTATCAAAATAAAACAGCAAACATGAGACTCAGACTGAGACGTGGACTTGACACTTGAAGAACAGACATGAAAGCATAACATGACTAGATGTGACACAAGGAACACAGGGAAGGCACAGACACAGAAACCAGGAGACTAGAAACTATGAATTACAATGAAGTTAACGACTATTAATAATTCAAAAACACAAAACATGGAAATTCCCCCATTACACTGAAATAGCATTGGGTATAAAGCTGATGAGAATCTGTAGCCAAAGAGACAGAAATAAAAAGAGTCTAGTGATTCATAACACAAATGTTTGTGTGCTTGTTGGACAGAACTTCATCGCTTCATTCACCCAGAAAGAGACTTGGATTGGTTTAAGTGACATAGAACAAGAGGGCACGTGGAAATGGGTAGACGGAACGCCTCTGACTCTGCAGTAAGTCTTTGAGTTCAACCAATATATTAAATATATTTGTAATAAACAAATATTTTTATAAATAATATTTATTTACTAAGTAAATATATATATTTTTTTATAAATAAAGAAGTAATGTTTTTTAATTTATGTACTTCCTTGGTGAAGTTATTTCATCAAGAAAATAACTTCATTGACAAACCTAGACACCAGGAACTGAAGATCTTAGAGACTGTTTGGGCCTTATCCGGACATGACTTGTTATTAACTAAACATTTTTTGATGAATAATGGAAGAAAAAAAAACAGACCCAGGAGAAAACAGTCAATCCTATCATCCGTCCATCCATTTTCTTAACAACTTAACAATTTATTATTAGAGACAGAGGGTTGTGCATGTATCCATAATTCACAATGGGTTAAACATGCTATCAGTAGTCATTTTCCCCATGTTGTTTTATATCTAATTCAAAGATATTAATGTTGTTTTTTATTGACTCACCAGATACTGGGCATCTCTTCAGCCTGACAACCTGTTGTTTAGAGAGGACTGTGCTCATATCAGATATCAAGAAACTTCCTGGAATGATGAAAGATGTGAAAATTCTCTCCAATGGGTCTGTGAAAAACTACTGTAACAGCTGAATTTGTTTGAAAATTAGATTTGTACATATTTTTCAAATTAGGCTATGATTGTTATTTCATTAGCATTTTTATATATCCTTTTCTGAATAAGTATTAAGATTTAGTGAAAAACAACCCTTGAAATATAACTATGCCTATAGTAACGAGTAACTGACCCATTTTATTTGGATAACACTTCTATAAACATACAGTCGCAGCACAAAGTTTTACTTTAGAGAATCAAATGCAGCCCCTTATTAGGAAGAAGATAAAGACTGTAGTACCTGTCATAAAAAAAACAAAACAGAAAACGACTATGGCCTGCTTCAGTGTGCTCAATGTGGTTTCAGTCAATAATTACCGTCACTGGGGAAATGGTGTCACCATGTTTTGAATAATTCTGTGGTATTTTTATTGATAATGTTGGTTTGTTGCATGAGTTCTGTTTAGATTCTTTCAGTGGTTGTAACAGTGTTTTGGCATCTCAAAGATTAGACCTAAGAGCTTTATCTAGGGAGGACTGTTAAAATTGTTACATTTCAGTCTGCAACATTTGGGCATATCGAGTAATTTGCCATACAATATTAGAGTGTTTTTAGTTTGAAACATAGCTAAAATGTGCAGACATGAAACAGCACACAGTGGATTGTACTGGTTGAAATTTGCACTGCATTTGCATTTCATATTGCAAATGTGCTCACTTGCTATTGTGACTGCTGAAAGCATTTAAACTAATGTTATCTTCACTTTATTGTTATTATTCTAGTAGAAAAACTGAGATTATTTTCTCTTGCTGTGTGTGTGTTTGTGTGTGTGTGTGTGTGTGTGGGGCATTTTACTGTACTTATGTGTTTTTCTTATTTTTTTTAATCTACTGTACAGATTACAGAAAAAAATGCTTTTACATACATAACGCATTTATTTTGCATTCTACTTGCTAAAAATCTGAAGCAGAAAATGATGAAGTCTTGCCATTGTTATTTCAGCTTTTTTAATCATTAAAAACATACATTTTCATGATGCATTATTATTGAAATGTAGTTTCCTCAGCATGTGTTTGACAGATATAACATTGTGATTCATCTTCAGAAAAGTGGACAGAAAAAGAGTTTGACTTCTGTGTCTTTTCACATGATTATGCAAACCCATAGAACAATGATATACCCGGCCTGTGATATGTACAAGAGCAGGAACGTTAACACCGCCAAGCAGCTTTCATGAAAACCAGTGGGAATGCAGCCACCAGGGGGCGAAATGGTAATGGACGTTCATTCACTTCCTGCACATACAGTCCAAATCAAAAGTGGCTGCAGAATCACAGAGGCTGGCTGTGTGAGCTGGTCACACTTTATACATGTAGAGAAAACATGTTGTCAGTGTTTCTGTTCAGGGACAGTCACCCAGCAGCAGCAGAGCCACTGAGAACATGTTGCTACTAAAAATCTACTTCTCTTCTTCTGCTGCAGCCAACTGCAATATATCAAGTCTTCATATTAGTCTGAGAGGAAGTTTAATTTGATTACAGATGGACACTGACAGAATGCACAGAAATATGGATTAAAGTGCCAGTCATTGGGTAAAGTTTGATTTGTTTTTAATGAAAAAAAAAAAAAGTAAAAACAAAATCCAGAGTGTTTTCTTTTATTCAATAAAAACCTTTACCCCAAGTTACTAAAGTCATTAGTTTTGCATTGACTCATTCTTTTCAGGAAAAAAAAGTTTCACAAAGCTGTTTTTTTTCATAGTTAAATTCTCTTGAATTCATCAGTGGTATTAGGGCTCCTCCTCCGCTGCATGTTATAATTGTTTAGGCACCGAGGGGTTCCAATTCAGCTGTACCGATGGCTTATTAGGCCCTGTGACAGACTGGCGACCTGTCCAGGGTGTACCTAAGATAACTGGCATAGGCTCCAGTGCCCGCCACGACCCTGAGAAGGATAAGCGGAAATGAACGGATAGATGGATGGATGATGGCTGATTACTGTGAGTCTCTGGTTCAGTAATACACAGTAGTGTCTTCAGGGTGCACAATTTATCCAGCTACAGTCACTGCTGCCGTTTCAGGAGATGATAAATCAGCACTGGACTGACTGAGAGTAAGAGGTGCTACTACTATTGAAGTAAATCCACTGCAATCCTATTGTAGCATCGTGGCTCAGCCAAGCAGCATACATGTGAATACTAAACCCTAAATATATACAGACCAGTCCGTGGGATTCTCCAGACCTTTTAATCACTATTTCAGACAGAATCAGTGTTTGAGTATAAAGAAATAAATGGCTTCTGTATTTCAAGCATATCATTCGTTATGGGGTCATAATGTTTGCAAAATGACTGCATTGTCCTTACCACTCCAGTAAACTAAGAATAAGGAAAACAACCATTAAGTCAGAATGATTCTTCATGGAGGCCATTGGTCTCCGCTATAGTCTTTTATGTATTTTTCATTCCTTGAACATGTACATATACACCAATAAAAAATTTAAAGTTTAAAAAAAAGAGGAACGTCTAAGCATCACTAAATCATTTCCTGTTAAGCAGCTTTATTGTATTTTTTAACTGTGTTGCTGAGTCACGGTTAATTCCTGTACCTATGGGGTTAAAAAAAAACAGCTGAAAAGAGTGTTAATGTCTTTTGATGTGCTGACATTTTGTACAACAAATCTCACTCTTGTGTGTTAAACTTATACCTGGTTGGATTCTGATCAGTGTTAAGCCATTAAACATAATTACCTTGCAGCAAAATCACATATGAATTATGATTCTGTGTTTAACCCTTAGTACACTTATCAGCATTTCTCTTATTGAGGATGTGTTGGCGACTGCCTGAGAGCACTAGCTGCCACTACTCTCACCCCAGATAAAGGCAATCCCATCCTGTCAATCGTCCATCCTTTTCCTGTCTAATCCAAGTGTTTCGATAATATTTTTCACTAAACCCTGAGTATTTACAGGTCAGTCTGTGGGATTCTCCAGGCCTATAGACCTTACATTATATTTTGTATTTTTGTAAGTTTGTTCATTGCAGACAAAAACTCTTTTCTTAACTCATTCTGTCTTTTACTAAAATTTAAAACCTTCTGCTCTCAAAATCAGCTTGTGAATATTAACATGGAGACAACAACATGCATGACAATAAATATCCATAGAAAAATAAATCTGGTTCTGCAGTTATTTAGTGACATGTGAAGGGGATTTATGACATTATTAATTCAATTCAATTTTACTTACAGTATATAGCGCCAAATTACAAAAGTCGCCTCAAGGCACTTTATATTGTACACTAGATCGTACAATAATAGATACAGAGAAAAACCCAACTATCATATGACCCCCTATAAGCAAGCACTTTGGCGACAGTGGGAAGGAAAAACTCCCTTGTAGAATGCAGGCACAGACACACGCACACACAGGTAGGTACAGCCAACTTCCACATTTATTCAAGTGTTGTTGTTTTGACAGCTGACTCAGTCACACAGTCTGAC